TTTGCCCCTGTGTTGTGAAAAAAAAAACAATTGGCCTGGTATGATTACTTTGTGGCTTAATATGTGGAAGACCTATGTTGACCATGTAATGACGATAATTATGATGAATATACTATCAGAAGCATTGAAAATAATTTACGGTCATCCATCCAAAATATAACCGCAATGACTGTTGCTTATCCTCTTTAAATGATAATGTTTAACAAGAAAAAAATGATGATATTTTATATTTTTTTTATACAACTTAGAATGGCAAACAAGCTGACGGCCCACCTGATGGAAAGTGGTAACCGTCGCCTATAGACATGAGCAGTACCATGGACATAACAGAGTATACTGTTTTGCCCATGATACCCCCCATGCGTTGCCATTCCTGAGGACTCAGGTGTTATTCCTCTGTACCCAGTAAATTTACGCCATACCCCACCCTTCAAACCGAAACACAGCCATGCAAACACAACTGCTTCATGGTAGAAACACGAATGGGACAGAGATACCCAAGCAATCGACTTTTGTACAAAGTCTCCCTCTGGTTATGTGTTAATCATAGGTTATTTATTTATTTATTAATCTAACAATCTACGAACAAATTTTATTATATTGAAGGCATTTTGCAGGTGATGGAATTTCGAAATTATGTCATTTCACGGGCGGAATTATTGAGAGTGTCCGAATTAAATAAAGGAAAGGTGTCGTCCCGTTTTATTCGATTATAGGGAACCGAGATTCCCTAATTTAGCTCGTTTCAAGGTATAAGCAACGAATAATTCAATAAGTCTCTCAATAATACTATCTATTATTAAACGTACCTACAATATTATTATCCTCTCTTTTTTTCTCTCAATTTTTCAACCTCTCTCCCTTTCCATCAACTCATATCTTTTTCTATGTAATAGTTAGCGAAAATTTATAACTATCATGTACATGTTGTTCCTTAATAAAAACACTGAAAAAACACTTTAAAAATTCAACTACTAAACCGGTTTGCATGAAATTTCTATAAGACGAATTTGAAAATATATCCTTTCAGATAAAAAATGAATTTTCCAAAACGATTTGTTAAATGATGGAGTTTTGAGGTAACGAAGAAACTTTGTGCAAGGCGATTACTGCAATCCTTTTTTACTTTAACACCCCATTCCATATTGTAATTTGATAAAGAACACGAAAAAATACGTGAAATGGCGCGAAATCAAAAGAAGTTTTAAAAATAATAAACGTGTTCCAAATTCAAAATAATTGAAAAGTTGAAAAAATAAGAAAAATTTTTATGTAACTGTATTTATGGCCAGACTAGTTATATTATGTAAGTAATTATTTTTATTTTATATTATCATCATTTATTTGATTTTTGCAGAGATAAAATAATAAATTAGGTGTTTGGCGGCACGTGTCTGTAATCCAATCGCATATCTAGGGTCAACATCGAAAAGGGTCTAAATATGACATTCCATAAATAACTCAGTTTATGTTATTGACTTTGCTTTCTATCGCTACGTACCCATGTGAGGAGGAGAATAATATAAGCATACAAATGATATTTTTGGGGTTAGAATTTGGGAATGTGGTACAAATGTTTTTTGGAGCAATTGTGTTTTTTTATTATATTTAGAAATGGCAATTATACGTTGCCATTTCTGAGGATTATAGTATTATGCCTCCGTACCCTGCCATATCCCACTCATCAAACCGAAACATAGCTATGCACGTACAGCAGTTTCACGACAAAAAAAATGTATTTAAATATTTACTTATGTACTCAGTTACCTATTTATTTATTTTACTTTATTTAACACTCTATTGCACCAGTATTACAGGACTTGTTTAAGGATTTTCAATAAGGGTGCGATACTAACATCCAAGTGGTTGACTTTTGTATAAAATATTAATTAATATTACACGTCATCAGATCAACTTTTACACGTTCCTTCTGGAAATCAGTTGATTTGTTTATTATTAATTTTTGCATGAATGAACCAACATATTTTTTTATTTTCTTATATTCGCATATAAGAACGAACTAATACGATGAATATGTATAGACATTTTAATTAGTTATATCACTTTTTGTTTTAATTTTTATGACAAATCTGACATTTTATTTTATTAGTTATTATATTATATTTCAAAAGTGATTTATAATATTTATGTATAATTTACCTATTGACTGCCTATAATGTGTTGGAGTATGTAGATAGTATGTATAGTATGCAGATCCTCTATAAACAATAGATATTATTCTATAATAATAAATAAATAATTATTTACATAACTTCTTTGTCATTTGATTCTCTACTAGTGCCCTGTTTTTATATTATATATACTATTAGTACAGGCGGCTATATAGTTCCAATTTCATGTAGAATTTTGTATATTTTTGAAACAATATCACAAAATATTTATGAAACAATGGACATTTTATTATTTGTATTTCAAGTGTAAATGAAAACGATATTTTATCAAATATTACGGATTTCCATTGTTATTATTTATTGAATTTCATTTTCGAAAGTAATATTTCATTCAAAATAATAATAAGTGAAATGACAGAATCTGTAGATATAATTTTATACAGTCTGATGGATATTCGATATGGAATATTGGAAAACAATTGAATATTTATTTTGTTAAATAAAAATATATTTATAAAATATTTAAAACTATAAAATATTTATTAATATGTAACAATTCATTTTAAAATAAAAAAATAATTCAATAATTTATAAAAACACTTTATTCAGTATGTACTCATGTATGTATATGTATACATGTATATATATAATAAAAAATGTTTCCTGAGTGTGTGGAAAATTTCCATCACGCCTGTTTCTCATTGGGGTAGGCAGAAACAATGGTACGCCAAATGCTTCAATACAAACAGATACAAAACTCTTTCGCTTCCTCCACATTCATTTTTCATACACGCTCGCTGGTTACGGCTACTTTTAATTTGGCCCTTCTTCAGCACGTTGCCTATTTGGTCGAAATACGTCCATCTAGAGCAGTCTCTATCGACATCTCCACTCATTCGTGCTCGATAAATCTCATTCGTAATCGTTCTTTTATCTATTCTGTCCAAATAGCCAAAGGCTTATTATTTATACATCGCTTGTTCATAGATGAATGAGATGATTATTGGGTAACTTGACAATTATTACATATTTATTAACATATCGTCATAGTCGTAGAATACTGACGGATCTGACAAATATTACATATAAAGATCCGTCAGTATTCTACGACTATGACGATATTAACGATAAAATAGAGGCTATTCAAAATTAAAAAGTAATAATTAGTTTCGTTTAATTAAACAATAATTATTTTTATAATAATTAATTTAACAATTTTTATAATAATAATTAATAGTAATAAAAGAATTTATTAATAGATATATAATTTATTTGCAGTATTTATAGCACACAAATAACATTAGCTGTTGGTACATACTTAAAAAAGAAATAAAACGAAGCATATACAAAAAAAAAAAAAACAAGAAGAAAGTACATAAAAGAGGTTACGCAATATCACAATTGGTGATGTTCTGATATACTCGTATTTAAAGACGTAGCTTTTACCCACGACTTCGACCACTTGATCAGATGATCACTAGCCATGTGTAATATGGATACCGATCCGATATCTATATATTGGGTTCCTCGGGACATAGGTGGTGAAAAAAAGTCATCACCCATTTCGATATCACCCATATCGGTCGGATATCTATTTTCAAATATGTTAAAAGTTTGTTATGCAATATTTTTTTTGTAACAGACTTTTAAGATATTCATTATTGGACTTTTATATCTATTTTATAATCAAAATATATAGATATTGCTACATGTTACCCACCCCTAATAATCACTGACGGGGATAAAAAGTAAATTATGTCTGTCTACATTCCAAACATCAATTTTTTTTTAATACTACTTAGAATGGCAAACAACCTTGACGGCCCACCTGATGGAAAATGGTAACCGTCGCCTATAAACATGAGCAGTACCATGAACATAACAGAGTATACTGTTTCCACCATGATACCCCCCATGCGTTGCCATTCCTGAGGACTCGGGTGTTATTCCTCTGTACCCAGTAAATTCACGCCATATCCCACCCTCTAAACCGAAACACAGCCATGCAAACACAACTGCTTCACGGTAGAAACATGAATGGGATAGAGGTACCTAAGCAATCGACTTTTGTACAAAGTCTCCCTCTGGTAAATCTGGTAAATCAATAAAGCCTAACTGCGTGTACCAAACCGCCTGCCGAGCATGACAACAGTTAGCAAAACCCCCTTATATGTGCAACAGTGGACAGTTAACGGCCGATATGATGATGTAATTACAACTGAATGCCTTCAAGCAATTCAAGATTAACCGTTTTGAAGTTACGCCCGTTTCACAACAAACTGTTAAGTTAGTGCATTATTCAAAACTTTGCGGATTAGTGGACATTATTGTCGGCCCCTGTCAGTATGAATTATGAATTAAACTATCCTTACAGGACAGTGATTCCGCCTGTCTGTTACGTTTTCGAATCGAAACTGTTAAATGGATTAAATCTTATTTAGTATAGCTCTTTAATTTTGACAAATTTTGCAATATATACATATGTAACTAACTTTATTCAGAAATTTCAATAATTAAAAAAATGGTATTTTCCTATAGCTTTGCACGCACGTCATATTTTCCCTTTATAAAAATTCATGTTTAACACATGTTTAATTTATAAAATACTCTTAAGTTTATGTCATAAATTTAAATTTTTTTAAAGTTAGTAGTTTTAGAGTTATGTTAATAGTCAGTCAGGAAAAATATAATACAATAAAATATTTTGTAAATATAGTAATAATTTCTCTAAGTTGCGACATATTTGTACTCAAATGTACTCGCATAGTAGGGGAGCACGGGGGAATTGGCGCCACTTAAGCTAAAACTTAACTAACTTTTTGTATAAATCACTTTTTATTTTAATTTTTTTTTTTAATTATAATGTAACTAATCAGGCTTATCCTGTTAATATAGAAATTAAAAAAAACCTACTTAAAATGAAAATAATTCTTACTTAAAAAAAAGTAACATTGGCTCCCATTGCCAAGAGTACGGGGTAATTAGAACCAGAAATAGGGGCAATAAGATCCATCGGGGTAATGGTAACCACAATAACAATATGTAACAAAATATTGTATAATTATACATTTTCCTCATGTGTTTATAAACTAAACTTATTCTCATTCAAAATACAATTATATTATCTTTAGGAACATGCGAAATTATAGATAATTATATGTAATTAAAAACAATTATCGCCTCATACAAAAATCACAAACATAATTTTTGGCAGAATTACTACCTGAATATTGGGCATGTGCATATCATACATTGTGATTTTAATCATATTTTTTGATTTGAAATATAGGTCACATTCGCGATTGTATGCTTTTTTTAGAGGACCAAAAAATGTTATATCTAGAGGCTGCAAACGATGCGAGGAGTGTGGTGGTGTAGACAACATGTTGATGTAGTTAGCTTTGCAAAATTCATATGCTTCTAAAGTGGAGTGGCTGTTATTATTATCTAGAATAAGCAATATTTTGTTTTCCTTACTCGGTTTTACAAACATTTTGAAATGTTGCAACCATTTAAAAAATAGATTTTCATTTGTCCATCCATTTTTTGAACAATCGTAAATTACACCCGGAGGACCATCTTTCTCTAAAAGAGGAGAATGACGTTGTCTCGGATATATAAACATAGGAGGCACATAAACGCCAGAAGCACTCATTGCACAAACAACAGTGACTGTCTTTCCTCTCTCCCAAGAAGTGACAGTACCAACTCGTTTTTGACCTGTTTTTGCTAAAATTGTTCCTGGTTTCTGCACTGTAGACACTCCCGTCTCATCTACATTAAATATTTGGTGCGCTGCATCATTATTTTTTATCATTAGTTCCTCAAGATTTTTGGAAAATAATTCTACTTCTACTCTATTACATCCCTCAATTCTGTTAATACTAGTTGACTCAGGTTTGCGAACACTGATATTAGTATTTCTTTTCAAAAATCCTTTAAGCCAGTCTGGTCCCGCACATTTAAGTTCCTTATTAAAATTATGAGATATCTTCAACTGTTCAGCACACTCGTATGCTAATTTTCTAAATTTCATGGAGTCTAAGCCGTAAAAAAGATTCGACATGTGAATGAGATGATCAGCCAAAATTTGTTTTTGAGTTGTAGAAAATATTGGTTTCCTTCCGAGACGAGGATTGGTTTGTACTGCTCTGCGATACCTTTTTTGCAAAGTACTATATGGAATATTAAACCCTTGGGCAGCCTTATGCAGAGATATTCTATCTTCATTGACTCTCTTGATAGCACGGTGTAGTAACCAGATTCCACTGATATTTATCCGTAATCCTATCTTGTTTTCAAGGCATCTGAAAAAAAACTACAAGAAATGAAGTGGGTAATGAGAGCCATTCGACTCCCATTTCCCCAAATACTCATTTTTAGGTTTTCATATAATTGTCAAAATACAATTGCTTATTTACATAAATTAACCTTTTTATACGATACTCTAATGATAAATCTATAAGATAAAAGAAGCAATACTAATAATAAAATAAATTAAAAACTCACAATTTGTCCTTGAATGTTGTCAAAAATTAGATGAATAGCTTAAAAAACTGACGTGCTATTTATTTGTGTACTAAAAGTCGACTAAACGGTGACACAACTAGGCATATGCACCCCTCCCGCGTCCTTTTGTAATACGTTAAAACAAAACAGGGTCTAAATTGTCAAGAAGCATGTAAACTAGAGTAACTCCCATTACCCTGTGGCTCTGATTCCCCCGTGCTCCCCTACACAAATAATAATATTGTGTCCCACAATGGAACCTACTTTAATTGTGCCAAACTTTGATTTCAAAATTGTACTACTGAACTAATTTTGATAAAATTTCTATGAAACTAATCTGTAAATATATCGATTTATTAATCGATACATATATCGTATCGTGTTGAATTGATCCAATGAATCGATATTTCACCATAGAAAATAGAGATTCTATTTTTTCTGTATTGATAAGAGCCATAAAATGATTTACATTTACTTGAATGTGAAATGAATGAATAAATATGTAAGGTAAATGTAAAAGTATAATTTATATATGTGGTTGTAAATAAAAATCATAAAGTGTTGTTTGTTATGGTGACTTATTAAAATTATGATTCGAATCGATTTAAAAATCGGTCTTGTTCGGAAATATTCGCAAACCCTAATCCTGTATGTAAGTGAGAGGGATGTATATGTTGTCTTTGTTCCGCTATCAATATATACAAATATAAGTCAAACATAATTCAAGGTAACTATTGAACGAAGCCTTTGTGTGTGCCAGTATGTGCACATAACATAAAATAATAAACAATGTTAACAGAAGTATATGTAATATTATATGTTTTTATTCACATACAAACTATCAAAGTAGAATTTATAAGAAAGCAAATGTTGAACATATATTCATGTACCTATACATATATTTATTTGTTATTCACTTGAAACATGAGATACAAAGGGATATATATAAAAAGAATAGGTATATGTTTCACCATACATAAGCATGTAAATGTTGGGCCCTTAATAATATTTTTATTTATGTTATTTCAATGTGCCAGTGGTAATTTAGTAATTTATTTGCTTCTTTATATTTATTAACATTTTAACAATAGCAATACATACAATATTCTATACACAAGTTAATAGATAATATCAGATTTATCATTTCATTTCATCATGCATATATTACCTTAATTTTTTTTATACTACTTAAAATGGCAAACAAGCTGAGGGCCCACCTGATGGAAAGTGGTAACCGTCCCCTGTCATTCCTGAGGACTCCTCAGGTATTATTCCTCTGAATCCTATAAATTCACGCCATATCCCACCCTTCAAACCGAAACACAGCCATGCAAACACAACTGCTTCACGGTAGAAACACGAATGGGACAGAGTACCCAAGCAATCGACTTTTGTACAAAGTCTCCTTCTGGTAAATTGGTTACATTCATATTCCAGATTATAATTAATGCCACATAATTAAACCAATCGCCTGGTATTCAAGCAAGGATGTAGTGTGACAAACTAGGCAACGATTCTCTGGGAGTACAATTCAAAACGCCCACAACAGACCCAATCCAGTAATGTTCGTTTCCTAAATTGGCCTGACCAGGAATTGAACCCGGAAATTTTACACAAAGCGACATATCTACTACTACGCTACAAGGTCCTCTAGATGTTACATATGTACATAACTTTAACCAATTTTCTATAGTAATGATAATTAGAATTACCTTCAACTCCTTAGTATGACGTGTCTACTTCGATATAAAACAAAAGTTATGTTTTACCTGGATACATTTAGCTCGATCCTCGTGATTCGGTGCAAAGATGAGCTATGAGGATTGTTAAACGATGCCCAACATACAGGTGGTATCGAACCTTTAAGCGAGATTTTGCCTCCCTTTGTGTGTTCTATCGCTTGTATAATGAATTGTGTTCTGAAGAATTGTTTAAAATGATGCCCTTAATAACTTTTTATCGTCACATCGCTCATCATCGACAATGAATTTATCTTCAGAGCTAAAATCTAAATGGTCGTGTACAGTGCGGTTTCAGGTGGGTTTCAGTCTAAAATGAGCTCCCTGCCGAGGTTTTCCCTAGAAACTACAGTATGAAGTTCTTCAAAGAACTATATTCAGGTTTCTTTAGGGTCGGTACGTCATGCACGTGACATCTCTGGTGTTCAAGTGTACGTAGGCTACAGTGACCGTTTATTATGAGACAGGCTGTATGCTTGTTTACCACCTTCGTTGTATAAAAAATCTCTTTTACTTTACTAATTTGTGTACTTTTAAATAAAGCTTACCAAACATGATATAAATTCTAAATGTCTTTTAATACGAACACGTAAATAAATTCCCATGGTCTCGCATTTCCTAATTCCAAAAGCCTCATTCATTATTTTCGCTTGCCTTACCTTTCTATATGCCTATTTACCGAACAGTATTTTTCATGCCAACTGAACTTCTCGTATTGATATATTGGTCTCGTTCCAACCCTATACAAACTTTATTTCTGTCTTGCTTACCACTAAAGTTTTAGACAAAGCCACCGTGGAATAAAGTCAGCCGTTTGGCCAGCTGTAAGACCAGACGCTATTGAGGTAGAAATAGTTATCAACCGACTTCAAAAAAAGAAGGTTCTCAATTCGAATGTGTTGTTTATTATTTGTCACCTCATAACTCTGCCATTTATAAATCGATTTGTAAAATAACTTTTTTTTATCTAAAAGGATATATTTTCAGATTAGTCCCATGGAAATGTTATTAAAATTAGTCCAGCAATTTAGTTTTTAAATCCTAAATAAATGAAGTTTCCTGTTTTTCATGGAATATAATTTTAATTTTATTACAAGTAAATAATTGTAACTACATTAATACAGTATTTTATTTATTAACAATTATACGTAAAAATACGAAACAATATATCTAAAAGGGAAGGTCCATTCTCTGCTGAAACCACACGGTAAATTAGTTAGTTATATAGTTTATAGTTACAGTTATATAGTATATAGTTATATAGTATACAGTTATATAGTATACAGTTATATAGTTTTTACAGTACTGTTCTACAATTACAGTTGTGTGCGACGTACCTTTTTGGTTTTCTTTTTTTATATATATTTAAAAATAAGTTTTTAACTGAAATTATCACATTTTATTTGTTCTCTTCTTCTCATTTTTCTTATGCTTTATATATATATATATATATATATATATATATATATATATATATATATATATATATATATATAATATAGTTATAATATATAATATTTATAAATATATTACTTTCTTAAATAAAACGTATTTCCATACCAACTTATTAAACCGTATTTCGTTCACAACAATAACAAAAGATTACAAAGTTATACCAGCAACGTTACAGTTAACTCGCGAGCAATTTCAGTTAAGAATTACTACCTGTACCCTTGTTGACCCGTTGTCCCCTTTTCCCATGGGAATTTCCACAGACCCTTCTCCAGTAGATGTTGTACACCCCATGAGGAATCTACATATTAAATTTTAGATTTAATATGTAGATTCCTTAGATTAGATTTAAAAATAAAAAAAAAAAACATGATTATTAATTATCTCGTTTCTAAATTTTTCAACTAATTTAAAAAGGATGAGTTCTTAATTTGAATATATTTTACATTTGGCAAAGATAAAAATTATTTGGTTTAAAAACACGTTGCATCTCCTTTTTATTTGTAACATATTAATTTTATACTCGTATAATTTATCTTAATTTATATGGGATCATACTCATACAGATTTTTGTTAACGTTTAAATAAGTTATTTTAGACATATTGAATAGCGGAATGTATTCTGTGGTATAGTTTTTTTTTTTTTTTTTTTTTTTATAACAAGTATGAGTATGTCAATGCAGTCTGTTCAGAGCATTGATCTCTGTCTGTTATATTCGTAATACTGTTCGTACCTATACGCAACGGTTCCCATTTTCCATCAGATAGGCCGTCAACTTGTTTACCATTCTAAGTTACATAAAAAATGAAAAATATAATTGTACATAAAAAATGAAAAATAAAAATCCTATCAATATAATAAATGTAAAAATTTGTAACGATGGCATTTGTAAAAGCAGTAAATGGATTTGCATGAAATTTAGTACACGAATTGGTTAGGTATATCCTAACTTAGTACATATGATGCTTTATATACTCATTTGCGCGAGTAAAGCCGCGAGACTCATTTAGTCCCTAATATACATCACTGAAGTTTAAGTTACATTTAAGTAAAGTAAGAGATTGCCCTAGTGTTAAGACTGCCTTTTATACCCACCTTTTAACTTTATAACTTGATCTGTATTCTATTTTACTGTGTTTTAATGTCTCATCGTGATTGCATATTTTTATATATAAAATGTAACAGAGAATTAGTTAAATAAATAGTAATGTTATTATTATTATTTTTATACAACTTAGAATGGCAAACAAGCTGACGACCCACCTGATGTAAAGTCGTAATAGTCACCTATAGACATGAGCAGTGCCATGGACATAACAGAGTATACTATTTCGCCCATGATACTCCCTATGCATTGCCATTCCT